TTTAATATTTTATTTATTATTTTTATGTGTATGAGTGTATTGCCTGCGTGTTGGTAAGTGCACCCGTGTAACGCAATGCCAGAGGAGGACAGAAGAGGCTGTTGGATCCCCTGGAACTGGAGTTACGAACAGTTGTTAGCTGCCTGTGGGTGCTGGGATTCGAACCTGGGTCTTCTGCAAGAACAGCCAGTGTTCTTAACCGCTGAGCCATCTCTCCAGCCCCTTATTTTGGTTGTTTTGGTTCTGTGGGGTTTTTGTTGTTGTTTTTTTGGTCTTTTTTGAGACAGGGTCTCCCTGTAGCCCCAGCTGACCTGGAACTCACTTTGTAGACCAGGCTGGCCTTGAACTCATAGAGATCCACCTGCCTCTACCTCCCAAGTGCTGGGACTAAAGGTGTGCACCACCACACCAGCCTTTTTTCTTTGGCCTTTTTGAGACAGTGTCTCCCTGTAGTCCCAGCTGGCCTGGAACTCACTGTGTAGGCCCTGAGGCTGACTTTGAACTCACAGAGATCTGCCTCTCTCTGCCTCCCAAGGGCTGGGACTAAAGGTGTGTTTTAAAATCCTGGCTTTGTTTTGTTTTTAAAGGCAAGGTCTCATTCTGTAGCCCAGGCCGGTCTTGAATTCACAATTGCTTCTGCCTTAGCCTGCCTTGGGGGGGGGGCGCTGGAGAGACACCTCATCAGTTAAGAGCACTTGCTGCTTTTGCAGAGGACCTAGGTTCAGTTCCCAGCACCCATATGGTGGCTGACAACCATCTGTAACTCCAATTCCAAAGGATCCAATACCTTCTTCTGGCCTCCTCTTCTGACCTGCACATGGCGCACATGCATACATGCAGACAAAACACTCAATACACGTAAAATAAAATACAAATAAATAAACCAAAACCAAACCAAAGAAGTTAAAGAGGCAGCACTGTAGGGGTTCCTAGCTCTCCACAGGGTCAGGAACTGCTGTGTGCTCTGATTTGGGGAAATGCACCACTGGCACAAGGGGCAGCAGGAAAGGGAAAGCATGGCCCAAGTGGACATCTGCTTTGCCCAGCCCTGCAGTGACAGGGCCCATGTGTGGGTCCCTCATGCCACCTTCCTGAATGCTCTTAGGGCTGCACTCATTTCCTGGGCTTGGCCTGGATCTAGCAGTAGGTGCTGGGATCCACGTTCTGGTTTCATGCTTGCAGTGCAAGTATTCTTAATCACCGAGCCATCGCTCTGGGCGCTACTTGTTTTTATTTATATTTATTTGTTTGTGTTTTTGAGACAGGGTCTTAGGGTCCACCCAGTTGGCCTGGAGTTTACTATGCAGACTAGGTTGGTCTCAATCTCAGAGAGCCCTCTGCCTCTGCCTCCTGAGTACTGGAATTAAAGGTGTGAGCCACCACACCTGGCCCCATTTATTTGTTTTTGAGATTGGGTCTCACATTATAGCCCAGGCTGGCCTGGAACTTCTGGTGATCCTTCTGCCTCAGCTTCCTGAGTGCTGGGATCACAGGCGTGAGGCACCATACCCAGTTACCTTGCATCTTTTCAAGAGCCTGGGAATCAAGTGCCACTTCTCCTAGGGAATCAATTGAATGTCAAGCAAACGCTGCTGTGCTATCTGGGGATACCCGCAGCAGGCTGGCCTGGAGCTGCTTTGCTGTTTACCTCACAGGACCCCAGCTGCTCCATGGCTATTTCTTCCAGATGTGGCCAGAGCAGTGGCTCAGGGGACACCAGTGCTGAAATGATACCTGCTCTGTGCCTGCTGTGTCTGGTTCCATTTCACCACCAGTGACTGGCCTCGGTCCTCCAGCCTTTCCTCTGCACCCAGGCTGTGGCAGTCAGGCCAGGAAGCATCTTTCTTTTGGCCTCCATGGCAGAACCATGGCACCCCTCTCTCCCTTCCTCCCCTCTTCTGTGGCCTCCATTGTGGCCTGAACCCCCATCCTGTTCCCAGGTACTTACCTTTAGGGTGGCCCAACTCAGCTCGAAGTCTGTTCCCCATCTCTAGGAGCTGCTCCTTCTCTAGGTGGAGACTGAGGATTTTCCTGGCAGCTTCCTTTAGCTTCCTTTGCAGGCGGGGCAAAGACATAGTCTGTGGGGCTTGTGCCCCTTGCTGGGGGCAACCAGGGAATGCTACCTGATCCTCAGTGCCCATGGGACTCCTGTTAGTCAGTCCCTATAAACAAAACCCATCCAAAAGACAGCTGTGTGAGACACTCCGGCAAGTCTACTGGGGAAGACCATGAGGGCATGGAGGCACTGGGGCAGCCCAATCGGCTGGCCCACTGCACTGTCCACTGCCCTCCAGAATCAGCATGGCAGCTCCCTGACTGGTGCAATCCCACCAAAAGACAGACAACAGGGTGACTGTTCCTATGTTCTAACTGTGGGCTGGGAACAGTATCCAGGCTTTGGTGGGCTACTTGGCTCTCAGGAATGGGGTAGGCAGCCTTTCCTCATCTGCAGGGCCACAGTCCCTCCACCTTCCCCCCCGCCCCCTGTGAGACCGCAGCCTGGAGCACTTCTCTTCCCTGCAAGCCCCCCCGGAAGACCAGGCCTTTTTGTCTTTTAAGGGGGAACAAGGAGAATTCATTCACAACCAGCTAGCACAGGGTTCCCTAAGGGCCTGTGCAGCTTTTGCTGTGGGAGAAAGAGTAAAGCCCCTAAACCTGGGAAGCCTGAGCCCAGATGGGCACTGCCAGGCACTTCTCACTGCTGTGGCCCCTACTCTGCCTCCCCTATTGTCCAAGAGCTAGCCTGTCCCCCTTCTCTTCCTTCCCTCCCTCTGGCTCACACTTTTCCACCTGCTGTCAGACTCCCCTCACCACCCTGTGGGTTGGCTGTGTTCTCTCCACCCTGAGAAGGCACAGAAGGAGGCAAAGGCTACTGAGAAAGCAGGTGTGATTGCCAGGGCCACGTGAACCCCTGGAAGCCGTGTGGCCTCCCACTCAGCCATCTTGGACGTGGGGGCCCATCCCACACACTGCAGAAATGTAGTCACAATGTGAGTACGTCTGCAACAAGAGGAGGAAACAGGAGACGGGGTCCTGGACAGCTTTGAGAGGCCATAAGGAACTGCTCCTTCCTGGGTGCTTGAGCTCTGTGCCCTGGAGCATCCTGCATGCCCTGCCCGGCTGGGTCCCTGATATTTGGCAAGGCTGGCAGGCCCTTGTGCCCTCTGGGTACTCCTGTTCCTCAGGTAGCCTGGAGTGTGTGGATGACTGCACCTGTAGGTAACTGTGTGCCAATGCTTCTGGGATACACTGCAGGCCACCAGCGACTGGAGGGTCATGGGATGGCATGGTAGCAGAGAGGTCTCTGGGATAGAGAAAGTCCTATGGCCCCACAGGCCCAAGCTGGATAAGTCAGCAGTCCCAGGGAAGCCTGTCAGAGGCCCAAGTACCCCAAATCTCAATGCATTTCCACGGTAGTTTGTTCTTCAGTCTTTCCTCAGGGGTGGACTTTGGAATACAAAGGCCCTAGGAGAGGTGGGCAGACCCAGAGGAAGGGAGGCTGGGGCTCCATTCTGCAAGGGCTGCCTGATGGGACTCCATCTCCCCATTGCTTCAAAAGTCTAGCTCTGTAAGACATGAGACATTCATTCTCATGTTACTTTAAGTGAGAACTGTTCTGACACAGAGACCCTGCAGACCTTGATCGCTCTGTAGACATGGAGCCTTCACCCCAGTGACAGTCTGGTATGGCCCAGCATGCTGAAAATGCCCTGGGCCTCAAACCTTTGGACATAGCCACACAGAAAGGTTCAGCCCTGGCCCTGTTCCTAAGAGCACACTTACCTGGAGGACACGGAATGACTAAAATTTTATTTGATTAAAGTGCTTTGTAACGTCTCCCCCAACCCCCCACCCAGGTAAAGATTCTACAACCCGAGACACATTCAGAGATATCCTTTGGACTATGGACACTTGAACAAACACTTCAGCAAACCCATCCTCAGGAGGCTGTGATCAAAACCAGGGACTCCTAGGGACACAGAAGGCTCTTCCCCAAGTCAGGTCAGGGTTAAAACTTCCAGGTGGCCAACAGTGTCCCCTCCAGGATAGTCCTTCTACTACCTTTGCTGCCCAGCACAGGGTAGCAAGGCCTGGGCTATGAGTTGATGACCCAGGAACAGGGGATGACAGCGCAGCCCAGCTGAGGTCAGAGGTGGATAGACAGCAGCATGTCTGGCTTTCTGCCCTGTGTGGGCCTGTGTGGGAGTCACCGCTAGAGACAGAGAAGGGTGGCCAGCTTTGTAGGCTCTTTGGTTGGGCAGAGGAAGGGGGTCTAGCCTTGGACAGGAGCTGAAAGGACCATCTCCAACTCCTGCTTCATTGACCAGTCCTCTATACATAAACTTCTTCCTGAAGCCCTGGAGAATGGGTGGGTGATAGTGTGCCTCCCCACTTGGACACTGCCATCTGTACTTCCCACAAAGGACTGTGGCACACTGCTGATCCTGGTGACCCCACCTGGCCTCTTAACCATGGTCTTCCCAGCTGGAATGCCTGTCGAGGACCCAGAACCCACAAAGTATGCATATGCTGATCTTGCCTACAGCTGGAAGGTTCCCATTTTTATGCTTTATGACACTGATTCCCTGAAGTGTCAGGGGGCACAATTTGTGGATGTCCATCCAATGGTTCTGGCTGAGGCTACCTCTTACTTAGGTCAGGTTCTGTGCTTTTGGGGAACCCCAAAATTGAGTCCAACTTGGAGGCACAGATGCTGGTATTCTGATGCTGGGGAAGGAGGTCAAGCGGGCATCTCCAAGCTTCTCCAATGATGATCAAAGGGCAACTCTGGAGGAGACGCTATGTGACTGGAGACTAGGATGTCTTACCACCCACCTCGGACTGCCTTATCTGTCAGGTTCACCTGCTAACACTCTGATGTAGGAGTCATTTTATATTCTATCTTATAGAAATTATTTTTAGCATATTTACTTATATGTATACGGGGACATGTGCATAGCATGGCATGCATGTGGGGGTCAGAGGACAACTTTCAAGAGTTGGTTCTCTCTATCGTATGGGTCCTGGAGACTGAACTCAGGTCCTCAGGTTTGGCAGCAAGCACCTTTCCTTGCTGAGTCATCCCGCTGGCCTCCATTTTCTTCATGTATCTGTTCACTTACCCTCATCAAATGTGGAGATTTCCTATTGAACTTGGTGGATCTTAGTCTTTTCTGCATTATCTGCTGGCTAAAGTGATCAACTGGAGACTCTTCCAGCTGGCACCTGTATCCTCTTAATACATCCGTGTTGGAAACGACATTATTCAAAGAGCCCTGACCCTGGGAGCAGAGCAGGGAACAGGCATGCACCAGTTCTCATCCATTTCTCTACTTGTCAGTGAGGAAAGCTGGGGACATCATTGACACCATGGTTCCAGCCCTCCAGCCCCTTGGGAGCACTGACTTCCTGGCCTCCTCATTCCTGGGCACCTAGCACTTTGCCCAGGAGGGGGACATGTGGCTCAGCCATGGGTGGCAGCCTTGGGGCCTTGTCCAGCAGAGGGTCCCCGCCCCACAAGGAGTTCACCCTGGAATGCTGGATTGTGGGGAGGCCTGGGGACCTGGGCAGGGCAGGGTGTGGGGGGGCCTTGGGGACAGGGGCTGCTCTCTACTTCATTATTGGCTAATTCAGCCTTCTGCTGCTGCTCAGTGGCTGAGTATCAGCTGGGGTCTCACTCCCGAAGCCCCCACCCCCTGCCCTGTTTTTTCTTCTTCCGCCCATTCCCAAGCATAGCCCATGCCAGAGGCCATGGGCTGTGTACCCCGTTCTTGTGGCACGGTGCACACACTATTTTCACCTTCTCGGCTGTTCCTTAAGGAAGACTCTTGAGTGCCAACGATGGTCATTAACAAGTCACCATCAGCAAGCCCAGGTGGCCATGGGCCACTGTAGGTCAGCAAAAGTGGATAAAAGTAACTGTAAGTCACTATTGTCATTACAGGTCAGTTTCCAGGGAGTCTAATCACAGGTCATTGTGTGTCACAGCAGGTCAGAGCAGGAGCAAAGGTAACCACAAGTCAGAACACTCACCCCAGGTCACTATAGGACACTAAGGGAGGTGGAGCTGCCACCTTCCCCACCCAGGGTTCCATTAGGGTCTTAGGTGAAGGGGAGCAAGCCTCAGAGCTGGGTCCAAGGTCCTCTCCATGGTTCAGACGCTGTCATGGGGCTTGGTGGGCATTCAGCTACCCCAGGCCTCTGTTATGGCCACAACTCTGACACACGCTGAGTGACTAGTGGCCCCTCCTCCTATGGGCAGGCCAGGCCTGTCAGCGGAGAGCCCTCTGCAGCGTGTTTCCTGAGAAAGGCTTTTCAGCCAAAGGGGGCATGGGCTATACTTCGACAGTAGTGTGGCCAGTCTAAGAAAAGACCAGAAGGGTCAGGAAGTGCACAAGGAAACCAGTGGATTAGGAGAGAAGAGGTGGCTTGGGAGCTAATGACATGATTACCACAGGCCTCATAGACCAAGGATCCAGCCCAGCAACTCGAGCACATCTGCTTCAGTAGCAGGACCTTACAGGTCAGGATGGGTGCTGCTGGTGGTGCTATACGTTGGGCACCTACCTCTCTCTGGAGCTGCTTCCTGTCCGAAGCCTCTCCTTCTTGGGGCCAGGCTATCTGGAGATGCTTGCTTAGCTCAGCCACCTGCTTCTGCAGCTCCAAAACCTCTAGGTGTACCCAGTCCACCTCCTGGGGGAGCTCATGATGGATGGTATTCAGCTCCAGGGGCTTCTGCTGCACCTAGGAGGTCAGTTCAGAAGGCAGTATTAGAGTAGGGGACTGTCCCAGGAAGGAGTATGAGGCCTGGGGGTAGAGGCCAGTCCCTCCCCTGTACATGATCTGCAAACCTGCCTGCATTTGCTACTCCTGTGCAGACCACACTAGACCCTGAGGGTCACTGAGGGGAGTTTGTGCACGGCAGCAGGTTACAGCTCTCTCTCCCCTGAGCCCTAGTCCCAGGGAGACACAACTGTTTAGAACACTAACACTGCTAGTGAGCAGGGGAGTCCTTTCCGTCAGTCAGAGGATGGAGGTAAAAGGAACATAAGCATGAGGGTGGAGGCTACAAAAGTAGCGATGGGCTGGGAGATGAGCTCAGCTGGAAGACCTTGCCTAGCATTCAAGATGCCCTGGACTCAGTCCCTAAATACACAAACGGGGTGCAGTAGCACATGCCCGGCATGTGGGAAGTAGAGGCAGGAAGATCAGAAGTTCAAGGTCATCCTCAACTACACAGCAGGTTTGAAATCCCGTCTAGGTTATATAAGACCCCAAGGCGGGGGGTTAGTGACACTGTGGGAGTGGAGAACAGGCAGGAAGGGATGCAAGACTCAGAAAGGGACGTCTCAGGCCATAGGTACAACGGGGGCGGCAGCAGCATGGCTGTGTGATTCCTACCCTGGACCTCAGCTCCACGTTGCCAGCACCCAGGTGGCTCTAACCCAGTTGCTTCTCTCAGTGACAGCTCCATTTCTGTGCCAGGTACAAGGAGAACCAGGCAGATGACCAACATATACTCTGACTTCCTGTTCTAGGTATAGGGAAGCAACCTATGTCCATCCATGGATGAGTGGATAAGCAAAATGTAGCCCAGCCACACAATAGAATACTGTGTGGCCATAAAAAAGAAGGAAGCTCTGACATGGGTTGTGTTAAGGTTCAGATAGCCCCGCCCCCTCACGGACAGGATCCTAAGGACTTCTCATGCTCCTGAGAAAAGGGAACCTAGCTGATAAGCACCTTGGTCTTTGAAGTCAAGAGAAGCAGACTTTTCTCCACTGTTTGGCCAACACAGCAGGCTTCCCCTTTGATCTCTAAAGAGGACAGGTTTTAACAGTCCCACTCTCCCACTCCCCCCACACCCAACTTTTAAAAAATACATCTTCCCGCCTTCTGCAGGAAGCAGACGCCTCCCTTTTAAAAAGACCCCAGCTCAAGACCCGGGCAGACATTTTCCCTGCCCACAAGGGGATCTGTCCCATGTGTTCCTTTGCTAATAAACCCTATTTTGATGGAGTTTTATCTATGCCTCGGTGCCTCATCCTCCATTCACTTGTTCTCTGCTAACTTTTTACCTATCAGGTTATAACGCAGACGAACCTTGAAGATACTGGGCTAAGTGAAAGAAGCCAGACATGTGACTTCACCTACACAGGTCTTGCATGTCCACTTTGGTGCTGCCCTGTTGAGGCCTCTTCTCTCCTTTACCTGATTCTTCCCGTGTGTTTATTATAATATATATATATACACACATATATATTGTGTTATACACACACATATCTACACATATAGAAAGTATATAATGCATACACATAACACATACACACATGCACTTTGTTGTTGTCGTTTCGAGGCAGGGTCTCAGTTATCCTAAGCTGACTTCCAACTCTTTTTGTAGCTAAAGACAATCTTGAACTCCTGCTCTTCCTGCCTCCACCTCCTGAGTGCTGAGATTAAAGGCGTGTGCCACCACGCCCGGCTCTTTATTTATTATTTTTATTTTTTATATGTATGAGCGTATTGCCTGCATGTAGGTAAGTGCACCCGTGTCGTGCAATGCCTGCGGAGGACAGAAGAGGCCATCCAATCCCTTGGAACTGGAGTTATGGACAGTTGTTAGCTGCCTTGTGGGTGCTGGGATTTGAACCCGGGTCTTCTGCAAGAACAACCAGTGTTCCTAACTGCTGAGCCATCTCTCCAGCCCCCAGTTGTTGTTTGTTTTTGGAAACAGGGTCTCCTGTAACCCCAGCTGGCCTGGAACTGGCTATGTAGACCAGACTGGCCTCAATCTCACAGAAATCCACTCCCTCTACCTCCTGAGTGCTGGGATTAAAGGCTATGGTACCACTCCTGGCTCTCACCTTCTTTTTGAGCTGTGTCACCAGCAAGTTCAAGAGATGCACTCTGTCTCCGAGTTTCCTGAGTGCCAATGCAGTAGATGCCTGGCCTGTCAGGGCAGTTCCTCCTATAGATAAGAGTCAGCTTAGATCGCAGAAACAAGAACAGTCTCCCTGAGGAGATGAGCCAGGGAATGTACCCTTCCCTGGGATCAAAGGGCTGGGTCCCTGGATCAAAGATCAGAGATGTGCTGTCTGTGAAATGGAGCTTCATGGAGAGAGAGCAGGGCTGTGGGAAGAAACCAACCTTCCCAGGTCAGATCAGTGTCCATTTAAATACAAGACCATGTGTTTGGAAAGGAAGATAAAAAGATGCCCACATAACACATGGGTCAAAGAAGTGACAGTGACATCACAAGTTATTTAAAACTGAATGATAATAATCTTAGGGAATGCAGCTAAAGCTATCCTTTCAATAAAATTTCCAGTACCCAGGCTTGCTGGCTTACTTGTATAAATCCCAGATACTTGGGAGGTTGAAGCAGGAGGGTTGTGTGTTCAAGGCCTACGGGGGCTACAGCATGCATTGGACCAGCCCAAGTTACTTGGTTAGAGTACATCAGAATAAAACACTTGTAGAACCGTTCACTGCAGCCATCTTACCTGGAACGTGCAAGGCCCTGGCCTCCATCCCCAGCGCTGTAGGAAAACAATTAAAAAAACAAAACAAAAAAACCCCCCACTTATATCTTTAGGTACACATTTTAGAAAAAAAAAAGATGACCAAGTAAAAACCAAATAATCTAGATGTGATGACAGAGTAAAATCAATATTAAACACTGAGACAACAGAAAATAATGTACAAGAGAGGATCAACAAAGTCAATGGTTAGCTTTTCATAAAGACAATAAATAAAAAACAAATAGCAGCCGAGCGTGGTGGCGCACGCCTTTAACACCAGCACTCGGGAGGCAGAGGCAGGTGGATCTCTGTGAGTTCAAGGCCAGCCTGGTCTACGTAGTGAGTTCCAGGACAGCTGGGGCTACAGGGAGACACTGTCTCAAAAAGATGAGTGAGAGAGAGAGAGAGAGAGAGAGAGAGAGAGAGAGAGAGAGAGAGAGAGAGAGAACAGATAATCTAATATACGGGGACTGTCCTATGGACATTCAAAGACTCAGGACCAATGCCTGCTGTGACGCAGGTCTGTAACCCCAACTACTCAGGAAGCTGAGGTAAGGGATCGTGAAGAAGCAGACAAACTAAATGCACAGGACAAGCAACTTCATGTAGAAGCTGGAAATTTTATCTGAAATGGTTAATTTCTTAGTATAATGTCACAAAAAATGCACAAGAAAGAAAATCTGAACAGTCCCTTAATATGAATAAAACTGAATTCACAATTTAAAACCTTCCCACAAGGGAAACTCCAGGCCATGATGGTTTCAAAGTTGAAATTTACAAATTGTTTGAGGAAAACTTAACATAAATGTGATCATGATGCCTCTGATGTAAGAGTCACCGAGGTTCTAAACCGTGACCTCAACATTATGAGACAGGACGACAGGCCCTTCTCGGCCCAGCCCTACGTTAGGTCTCCACGAGACATGGGCAAACCAAGAGAAGCAACCCCTAGGGAAGGATGTGCCACAGCCTGCTGGGCTCCTTCCAGAACTACAAGGATGGCACGACAGGGCAAAGGGCACACTCCACCCATTCTGCTCCCCGATCACGGTCTGGCCAAAAAGGGTGGCCACATGGAAGACTCCAAAGAAGAGGAGGCAGCCCAGTGGTCAGGGATGGGGCCCTGGGATGACTCAGGTGAGCTCCTGTCCTTCCTCCCCTTCACTACTAAGGGAATGTGCACTGTACCCAACACACTGCTTGCTAAAAAAGAATGAAAAGAAGGCCCCAGGTGAGCCTGCTTCCTGGAGCCACAGGACCAGGAAGATCCCTGCCCTGCTCCTTGCCCATTGCCCCGTCCAGCTGTGTACCAAGGTCAGCAGGCTCCTGGGAAGGGCATTCAGGTGGAATTTGTGGGCAGCCCTGAGGGTCCCAGGGGCAAGCAAATGTCTGGGACCTGGAGGTGAGTGCTGCTCAGAACTCTGGGGCCACTCAGAGGCCTCAAAGGGCAGCAGTGCCTGTTTAAGTCTGGCCTGAAGTAGCTCACTATGACAGACAGGGCAGAGGAAGATACCAAAAGACCAAGGAAGGATATTGACACACAGGGAACTGCAAATTAGCACTGTAACAGGATGAACCATGCAGTCTCTCAAATGGCCAACCCAGGGAGAAGGACTGTGAAAGTTGAGGGCTACAAGTATCACTGCTGAGGGAGGGCAACGGTACAAGTATTGTGAAGTCTGGCATTGACAACTAAGACAACTTAGGCCTGAAGAAACCAGACAAATGCACATGTGCCACATAATTCCATTTACACAAGAAAACAGAACTCCCACCTACCACTGGGAGAGCCAAGGGGACTGGAGACAGGTGAGCACAGGGGTGCAGTGGGGTGGGAGGATGGGAGGGCTCCCGGTTCTGGACACAGTTCCCTAGTGGCAGCATACACTCCTGAGCTGCGCATGCATCTAGAGGACTTGCCCAGGGATCATATCTCAATCTTCAGAAAGACAGTGTGGCTGGGGTGGAGCACATGGTGCAAGGAGCTAGGGGCCCTCACCAGCCGACTCTGCAGAGCTCTGGGCACCACGGTGCAGATCAGCAGTGGCCGAGGCTGCCTTGGCTGGCTCTGCCACACCTTCTAGCTGCTCTTCTAGTGCTTCAAGTTTATGCTTCAGGTTTTGCATTTCTGCTTCAAGGGCCAAAACGCAATCTGCCAAAACACCAGGGAATACAACCTATGCCCACTGCCCACTGGCACACTTGCACTATTCTCACTGACACAGGAGCAGGGCTCGTCAGGTCTTTTGCCTCTGCTCTGTCTGTCTTCACTCCCTTCTGACTCTCAGGACCTTCCCTCACTCCTCAGTCCAGCCTCCATGGCCCCCAGGAAGGTTGGACGCCTAGGAATGAGAATTTGCCTGCGTGTACTCTATAGGCTTTGTGTACAAAGGGAAACACTCCTATGATAGACCGGTCCCTCAGAGGCAGTGGTGGTGTCTGCTAAGAGCAAGGCATAGGTGGGGATGCCACCTTAGCTCTACCACAGGAGACTTGACCCGGGGCTCTGAGGCCAGCACCATACCCTCCCCAGTCTGACTGCTTGCCAGGCTCGTCAGATATTATACGCCCTGCGCGTTCCCCTCTATGCTGGCAAAGATACACCGTCCAGCATGAAACAGCTTTGTCCCTTGGAGGAGCAGTCCTCAAGCTCTGCAGAGCTTTGTTACTGTTAGAGAAATGGGGGGAGCTGTCTGGGGGTCCTCTCCCCATCTGTCCTTCTGCACCACCGGCCCCCCTCACTCTTCCCTCCTTCCCCTCCCTCTCTCCCTACTCACCAGGGGGGACTGCATCTCCTCCGGCCTTGGGCTCAGGGTTTGCATTTGAGCACCCTCCTGTCTGCACGGGAGGAAGGGGAGCACTCAGTGTCTCCATCTCCCTCCTCATTTGTGAAACAGCATTCCGCAGACCTGTGTTCTGCTCCTGTAGCCTCCGGATCTCACTGGATGGAAAATCCTTGTTCAGTTCACCTTCATGCTGCTGTGGGGGGATCTGCCAACCACACACACCAAAGGAGGATGGTTACAGACACAAAAGAAGAGAGGTCTCTGCATCCCTACTCAACTCACACCTTCCTTCCAGGGCTGCAGTGTGTTGTAGCCTGCCATCCTCTGAGCATAACAGCCATCATTGCTATCAGAACGGCTGTGACTACTTGCAAGGGGTCCCCAAGATCAGGTTTGCTGATGCTGACAGTCTCTCATAGAAGGGTACGGTATGGGGAGCGGTCACTGGACCCTCACATGACATTTCAGCCACTCTGTCCTGCACCTTCTAGCCAGCACTATGCAATTCTGCCCTGGGATTGCATTTCTGAGGCTATGGAGAAGTTGTTATCCACACTGGGGCGAGACTTTATGCTGGTGTGGCTGCTTTGGGACCACCCACACTCCTGTAAGCAACCCTCACCCATGATCTATAGGCAAGTCCAAAAAACTAATTGGTTCCTTAAGTTGGACTTTGGTGGAATTGTACTTTGATTTGTCGCTGGAGCTCTATAAGGAGGAGGCACATGTTTAGTTATGTCTCCCCAGGGAAAGTTTCTGTAACACAAGGACCCTCCTAATCTGAGCTCGAGAGGCATACAGATTTCTGAGGCACTCCCTATTATGGGGGTCCTTCAGCAGTTGGATTCAGAGACAGAGAAGGGACACGGGAGCTGAGGGAAGGAGCACTGGTGTTGGAGGGCCTCTGGAGGTGGACAGTGGTTCAAGGACACTTGTGCTTAGGGCACCAAAGGCTTTGTGCATTTTATGGGATTCTAGCACAATAAGACAGTTCACTGGCTAGAGCAAGTCCAAAAGCACAGAAGGAACAAGCAGGGGCTGCGAAAGTAGCAGGAAGCATGCACCCAGGTCAGGTGCAGAACTCCCTGGAGGGCATGAGGTGTGGGCCAACTCACACCCAGAATAAGAAGGGCCAGAAAAAGTCAGTGTGACTAAGCACTGCAAAGTGCCCCTTCAGTGCAAAATGGAAGCCAGGTCCAAGCCCTTGAGATTTCAGTCTGACCTGTCCAAAGCCAAGCAAGGCCCAGCACAGAAAGCCCTTAGCTGGTCCTCTGTGGAGGAGACACAAACGTGCCCACTGCAGTGCTTGTGAGCAATCTAAAACCTGGCCAGAAGCTGACTCGGTAAATTATGGTGGGGCCGTGTGGTATGTCCACTCAGATCACACTTCTGAGAGATTCTCATGAAATGGGAAATGTTTATGGTAGACTTTAAAGAAAAAGAACTTTCTAGTGAAGCATTCACCTGAGGGGCAGCCTCTCAAGCACTGCCCTGCCCCTCCAATTACAGCCCCCCCCCATGCTAGTCCCTCTGCTGCCTTGTTCTACCTACTTCCCAGGCATGTGAATTTCAGGCAAAAATGCAGTTACAAAGCACCTCCCTCCAGTGGCAAGTTCCGGCTCCCAAAGACCAAGAGAAGAGCTGAGCTATATCTGGCCTAGGCCTGCTTGATTTCAAAGACTTATATGCTAACTACAGCTTTAAAAAAAAAAAAAAAGTCATATTTATTTATTTATTTATTTATTTATTTATTTTGCACAAGTCACAACATGCATATGGAAGTCAAAAGACAACTTGTGAGAACTGGTTCTCTCCTTCCACAAAGTGACAATTTGGGTCCTGGGAATTGAACTCAGGTTGTCAAGCTTGGCAACAAGTACCTTGACCCATTAAGTCATCTCATCAGCCCAACTACAGCTTTTTTAAAAAATATATTGACTTACCAATGTTTTTCTCCAGACCTGATGTGGTTGGCAACCTTCCAGCCCCATCTCCTCAGACCTCACACCTCCCCCAGCTCTTATGCTCTGGACAGGTACTGCTGGTTTTCTACAACACCCAGCCTCCCCTTTATCACAGCAGTCGGGATAGGACACCTGGGAAGAACCACAGGGAGGGGGCATAACAGTGAAACACCAAGGGGGCCTGGTCATCTCTACGTGCCACTTCTCATCTGTGACACCAGGGGGCTAAGAACTTCTTTTGGTCACAGGCTGGCCGCATCTTCTTCCTCCTGGCGTCCCTAACGTGACACCTGTAGCACCAAGGCCACTGTCTGGTCTGCCCTGGACCATGAGTGAAGCTCTCGCATCACAGGTCCCGGCTGAACAGGGATAGCAATCCCAGTTGAGGACACCTGTGGCAAGGCTGGCACCAGCTTCTTGCATAATACGGGCTCCTGGCCAGCCTGGAGGCAGTCCCTAGGTGATCCCAGTGAGGCGTGCAAGACAGCATCTCCTGGGCTGAATTCTGCAGTTCACCAGGGCAGGCTTGACAGCCTCATCATTCAATTTGAACTTTCATGTAATGCTGCTGGTCAGGAGCTGGTGAGGGCTTCTTCCCAGAGCCCATCAAAGCTGTACCCAGGCTGTGTGAACTGCAGTGATCACTTGGTTGTTGAGCCAGGCACACTGTCCAAGATCAAGGGTGCACTTAAGGGAGTGGGTAGGGTCTAGACTGTCACAGAACCCCCTTCTAAGGCTCACTGTTTACTTAACAAAGAGACCAGCGAACTGATAGGTCTTGCTGACCTGCTTAGCTGGTACTTGAAGACAAACGTCTTCTTTCGGTTTCCAGCCTAGGGGAAAGTACAACAGGAAAGCTTGCAGGACGGGACCACTGATGAAAATAACCCTATTTTCTTCTGTCATTTGTTGACATTTTCTCCTGTGTGCAGAGTTGGGGGTCTCTTTCTCTCTCTGGTCTTTTTGAGACAGGGTCTCCCTGTAGCCCCAGCTGGCCTTGAACTCACAGAAATCCACCTGCCTCTACTTCCTAAGTGCTGGGACTAAAGGCGTGTGCCAACATACCCGGCCGGGGGCTGGGGGTTCTCTCTTATATGACCATGGGAAGGCCATTGCTGTGAGCTCCCAAGGCTTGTGGGTAAGAGAACCATGGGAACCAATGGCTACCCCCTCCCACCCCTATCCTCCTCTGCCTCTTTGAATTTCACAAGGCACAGTGTCCCTGCTTGTAGCAGGAGCATGACCACAGCTGCTAGGGTGTCCTCAGAGCCCCAGCCTTAGGGCCGCTAGTCTCACAGGTCCAAGCTTGTTTTTGACAAACATTCCTGGAGATTCTGTCATGGGCCACATTTAGGAACTGTAAAGTAGAAATGTGTTTTCTTGGCAGTCTTGAAGTTACCTGTTGCTCAGATTCCACACATCCTAACCCACAGAATGGCTGTGGCCACCACCAGCAGCCAGCACCAGGGCCACCCTGGGTACAGTGACTTCTAGTGCAGACCCCCCCGCCTCCAGGCCCACTCTAAATGACATGGGAACTTGGCTTTCTGAGGGATGACACCTAGGCAGGAGGAGAAAGGCAGGCCTGGGCATCCCCCAGGAAGGCCAAGGATTTTCCATAAAGGGGCAGATGTCTGACTACTGAAAAAATCAATGGACTAGTGAAGGTCCTGGAGAAACGTCACACTAAGTGCTGCACAGACTAGGACAGCCAGCTGAGGTCAAGTGAGCTTCTTGCAGCTCCTGTAACAAACGGCCATGAACTGGGTGAGTCAAGTAACGGAACTGTGCTCTCGTGCTGTTCTGCAGGCCAAAGCCTGGCGTTCTGCCGTCAGGACAGCTGTGCTTCGTCCAAAGGCTCGCAGAGGCTCCATCCCAGGCTTCATCAGCCTCTGGCATTTGCTGGAAAACCTGGGTGTTCTGGGGCTTGTAGATTCATCACTCTAATCTCTGCCTCTGTCATCACAAGGCCGTCTTGTGTGTCTCTGTATTCTCTCCTCTGTTAAGACAGCAGGGGCTGGGCAGGGGTCAGGCCATCCTGCTCCGGCATGGCCTCATCTTAGTTTACTACATCCTTAGCAACTGGATCTCCAGTGAGTCCTACTCTGAAGTTCTGGGGTGAGGACTTGAACCTAAGTCTTGGCAGGAATGTAACTCGGCCCACAGGCATCCCATAATCATTGTCTGGCTATAGTCAACATAGAGTTGCCAAGCAAGTCATTGTGAAGGGAAAACCACTATCTTCTCGGGCTCAAGTCACTCAGTCACCACATGTGAAGACGTGTCTGTGGGCAGAATTCCAACCTCTTATTCAGGCTTTGATGAAAAGGCCCCCTAGGCCAGAGAGATGGCTCAGTGGTTAAGGCACTTGCCTCCCAAGCCTCTAATAACCACGTGAATGTGTCATGGAACACACACGGTGGAAGGAAAAGAACCGACTCTTGCAAGTTGTCCTCTGACCGTCACACCTGTTGTCACATGTATGTATGTGCCCACAACACACACACAATACGTAAGGTAATAGAAATTAAAAACAAAAGAAAAAGCCCTGTGGAAGGAAGACCCTAGGTGCAGCTTCTCAGAGCTGAACCCTGACATTTTACTTTGGACATTTGACGCCACATCAAATTCTTCAAAATTGGCACCACAAACTGATGGAGACCAACAAAGTGGAAAGCACTATCTTTTTGTTTAGGAAGCACTACTTTGTATTCTAAAAGATGAAGACATTTGGGTTCCTGGGCAGTGATGATGTGGTGCTGAGATGCTGGCATCACGGCTCCACTTCAGACCACTGACATGGACCTTGCACCGGCTCTCTTCCCTCAAGCCTTCCTGCTCCTTTTTGACTTCCTGATCTGGCAGCCTGAGGAGCTGCCACTGCTCACATGCCCATCCTCCATGAAGCTGTGGCTCCAGCCAAGCGCACAGTCAGCCTGTGTCCTGTGCCTGGACAATTCCCATGCAGCAGAGGCAGGATCCCCACAGAGGCACTCTGACCTCATGTGCTCAGACTCAACACAGGGAAGAAATGGCTCTGGGTTCTGTGTGTGTGTCGGGCCATAAACTCTACCATCCATCCATCCATCCATCCATCCATCCATCCATCCATCCATCCAACATCTATTGTGTTGGGGATCAAATCCAGGGCCTTGAACATACAAGGTCTCTACATCCTATCCCATTTAAAATTTTTATTCAATTATTTTTTTGACAAAGAGTCTTACTAGTCCAAGTTGGCCTTGAACTCATAAGCCTCTTCCCATAGCCTCTTGAGTGCTGGAATTATAGTTATGTGCCATATTCTTTGTATATGTATATACTGTATGCCAGTGTGTGTCCATGTGTGCTGGTGCTACAGGTGTGCACATGTGCAGGTCAGAGGTCAACACTGGGTGTTTTCCTTTATAGCCTCCCACCTTATTTTTTAAGACAGGGTCTCTCGTGGGCCTGGCCACACTGATCTGGTTAGACTGGCTGGCCAGTGAGCCCTAGGATCTTTCAGTACTGCAATTATAGGCATGTGATGCCACTCCTGGCTTTTCCATGGGTGCTGGGTCCAGACTCAGGTCCTCATGCTTACGTAGCAGCACTTCACCCATGGAACCAGCTCCTCAGTCCTTTCAAAACCGTAACCATAGTTAGGCTCATGGAGGGAATCCTGCCTATCTGAGGTCTCTCTGGCAAAGTAATACAACTTGGTGGCAGAGAAATGAATCAACAAGATGAGAAGTCAGAATGTGTCTGCCTTGTTTAGGGAGGTGGAATCAAGGGAGGGGTGTGGGGATCTTTATGGGGTGAAGAAATGCTCAGCATTGAGTCAGAGGTGGATGTGATACATTCACCTGCCAGAGTCACTGCTCAGGACACCAAGACTTGCTTTGCCCTGCATGTTGGGGTGTGAGAATACCTCATTTAAAAACTCAGCCTTTAATCCCAGCACGTGGGAGGCAGAGGCAGGCAGATCCCTGTGAGTTCAAGGCCAGCCTGGTCTACATAGTGAGTTCCAGGACAGCTTGGGGCTACAGGGAGACCCTGTCTCAAAAAGACCAAAAAAAAAAAAACAAAAAAAACAAACCCTCAGCAAGGGAAAACTAAAGCCACCTGCAGGCCTGAGACCAGCCTGGGCTTTTCTAGACCCCAATTTGAGTTAGATCCTGAAACCCACCTAAAGGTGGAAGGAGAGAACCAACTCCACAGAGCTCTGACCTCCACATGTATGCTGTAGTACACATACGGCCCCCACCCACCACACACACACACTCATCACACATACACATAATAATAAGAAAAATAAATTTTTGAAAGGGAGTGAGTTGGCAAATTTCACTGAATAGCAAGATGGAGGTACTGCCTAAGTATTAAACAGTGACTGATCTTGTCCCTTCCAAACACACAACCAGGAGCTGCAAGGACAAGAATATTGTGTAGCCTACTAGGTGGTTCTGAAAAGGCCTATCAGTGATCCCATACTGACATCTAGTGTCAGGTTGCAGCTGAGCTTTTCTTCAGTGCTGGGGATGGAACTGTGGCTTTGCTGGAGCTGGGCATGTGTTCTGCTACTAAGCCACACCCCAGTCCTGAGTTGTGTCTGGATGTGGGGTTTTCAAAGCTTTCAAATGCTAAAGATACAGAGAAGACTGTATCCTGGTGTGTCTACTTTAACTCCCTAAGGCTCCGGGTCCCTGTCATTGGAGCAGTTGCCATAGAGAGGAGCAGGACCCAAAAGGCCTAAGCCAACCTGATGCACCCTGCTGTGTCTCCTCTGCCTCTGTGGAGTCAGGCTCCCAAGCCAGCAGGGGGCTCACCTGTGTCTCCTGTCCAGGGAGAAGCCCACGTGCCCGTAGCATCTCAACAGCCTGGTCTCGCTCAAGGGACACAGCCTTTAGAAGCACAACCTGCTCATTCAGTGCCCGCTCTGTCTCCTGAAGCTTGGCAGCAACCTGGGAAAATGTCCATGTGTGGGCAGTGCTGGTCTTCAGGGCACAGAGACCAGCCTCCCTCCTGCTTAAGAAGCGGACAGTAGGAACAAGTGAACAGCCACAGGAACTAATGCACATACAGCACTCAGAACGCTGCGGCTGCCCTCCAATGGTGCGAAAATGTTCTTTCTGCCTACATGCCCAGGCTGCCCTGACTGAGTGAGTACTATGCCAATGGGTAGAGGCCGTCCCAAGTCTGACTACCAGAACTATGCCACTGTCAGCAGCAGAAATAGCTCATACAATAAAACACTTTGAAAGTTTAAGGATAAGGCAGGAACTTATTTTTGTTACTGTGACTTTTTTTTTTTTGTCTTTTTTGAGACAGGGTCTCCCTATTAGTCTCAGCTGGCCTAGAACTTGCTATGTAGACCAGGCTGGCCTTAATCTCACAGGGAATCACCTGCCTCTGCCTTCCAAGTGCTGGGATAAAAGGCCTGTGCCACCACAACTGACAAGTTTTTTTTTTTGGTCTTTTTTGAGACAGGGTCTCCCTGTAGTCCCAGCTGTCCTGGAACTCACTATGTAGACCAGGTTGGCCTCAAACTCACAAAGATCTGCCTGCCTCTGCCTCCCAAGTGCTGGGATTAAAGGTGTGTGCCACCACGCCTGGCACAACTGACAACTTTTATTTTATTCTTTTTAGGACTGTCCCACTATGCGGCCCAGTCTGGCCTTGAACTTCAGATCCTCCCAATTCTCTGAACTTCAGATCCTCCCAATTCTCTGAGAAGCTGGGATTATAAGCCCACGTCACTATACCAGCCTTACTGTGACTTGCTGTTTATAAATTAACTAGCATTTGAGGTTTAGTGTTTTCAGAGTTAAAGAACAATATGGTTATGAGCCAAACCCACCCTGATACAACACTGCACACGCACCACACCCCGCAGCATCCAACACACCTGAGTTCTGGCCTTGGTCAGGCCCTGGATCAAAGCCTCTGACCTCTGGATCTGGTCTCGCTCAATGTCATCGCAGCGGCGCTGCCAGTCTAGGTTCAGTTGCACCTGGTCGCGCTCCAGGCTCTGTTCTCTTTCCACTGCAAGGGACAGTTGCTGTTTGTACCTGCAAACACACCCCAATATCCCGTGTTAACTTTCTTTTCTGAGGTCCCTTCAACATGAAGAGCAAAGGTGGGACCCAGGGTGAGGGATGACATCAGGCTTTGCCATGTTAGGGAAGGAGGATGCATGCCTGGCTCACAGGGAAGGAGCTGTGCTCATTGAGACCTGAGGAAGAACAGCATCCGTTGAGAGACAAACATGATGGACAGACACCAAGTTCATCAAATGTTGGAGAAAACCAGCACCACGAAGGAGGTGGCCATGCTCGGGGGGCCAGTGCACAGGCAGAGAGGGGCTGTCGTACAAATCAGGATTGCCTAAATCCTCTGAAGAACAAGCTCTAAGAGGCAAAACTGGAGCATGTGCCACTGTGGGAGTACAGGCCAGAGAGGCAGAAGGGGCTCAGAACCCATGTCAGGCAGTAGCAAAGGGGACAAACAGCTCTCTTTATGCGGTACAAAAGCCAGTTCATTGGGAAGCCAGTACAATCTGAATGCAGGTGCATCTAATGAAGAATGGCACATCACAGTTAAAGAGAGAGCCGAGAGGGAGCCAGTCCAAGCACAGCTATAGGGCTCCACACTCTCTCTGTAATGGACAGAACCAGTAGACACAGTAGATCATGAGGACACAGGAAACAAGAATACTGCTGCCCACCAAGGTGGTCAGTGTGACATTTCCAGCGCCCAGAGTGTAACAAGGGCACGGCTTTCTCTTCAGGTCTATTTGTCAGTCACTGGGGCAAAACACATTTCAAAGCCACAGAGGAAATAAATCATGCAGGATACATTCTGCATGCACAACAGAGCCAGATTTAAAAATCTGTAACAAATGGTGCTTGCAACTAAAACAATAGGAAATTAGGCAATTCAGTTCTAAACCACCCGTCTGCCAGAGAAGAACACACAAGGAGAATTAGAAAACATTTTAGCTGAATAACACCAGAATTTGCGAGTTTGTGGGATGCAGCTGAGCGATGCTCAGGGGAAAGTCACAACACTAACTGCGTCTGGCAGAAAGAACGACTGTTAATCATGTTGGTCCCAGTGTTAGAAGTGATCAAAGGAAAGAGAACGAACATAAGAACAATGGCGACACCAAGTCCAAAAGCTGCTTCTTCACAAAGATCAATGAAATAGATCAAAGCTGGTCTGGGAAAAAGGAGAGACCATCTAACTACCAGTGTCATGAGCAAGAGGGCCCTTGCTCTTAACTCACAGGAAGTAAGAGAACAGGAACCAGGAACAAAGCCACAAAGCTCAAGTGGGCAGGCAGAGTTATAAGCATCAGAGAGTAAAATCTGACTAAGCAGCTGTGGCATCGCATGGCTACCAAGCAGTGAAAAGAACCTGCAATAGTTTAACCTCGAGGTGACAAAGTAAGCCACAGAAGCCAGCTGCCAGAGCCACACCATAGGACTCCACTCAGATGTCCACTCTAGGCAGACCCACTCATGGGTAGCTAGCAGAGGGACTGGAAGGTCTGGCTACGGGCCTGAGGGGTCCAGGCTAAAGTGCATTAACAGGCAGATGAAGGCGGCCACTGCTCAGTACACCGGCTCTCCTTACAGACCCAAAATCCCTCATCCCAAAGGCATCTGGCTGCCGGCTCGCCTCACCACCATAGTCTACTTGCTTCTTCGCTAAATGTTTCCCCCTCCCTCCCCCAGGGAACGCAGGGCCAGGACCTGATTTGTTCAGTTCCAATCCTGGGCACCTATAAGGGTTCTTTTCTGCAGGAGGCGCTCAGCACAAGTAGCTGCCTCAGCAACAGTACCTGTCTATGTCCTGCTGGAGCCTGGCCACCTGTGCCTTGAGTTTCACCTCCTCTTCCTGCAGCGTCTGAACGTGAAGATCTTTGGAGACCACCTCCTTGGACATCTGAGTGATCTGGGCATCCCAGTCAGCTTTCAGAGCTGCTATTTCTTCACGGAGACTGCACAGGAGGAACTACGTAAATGTGGTGAGAGGTTCCCTTGCTCCTCAAGCTCCTCCACAGAGCACCAAGGAATGCACATATATCTGTCTATGTCTATGTCTGTCTATGTCTATGTCTGTATCTATAATCTATATCTATGTCTATGTCTATATCTATGTCTGTATCTATAATCTATATCTATATCTATGTCTATGTCTATATCTATATGTGTATATCTATATCTATGTTTATGTCTATATCCATAATCTATATCTATATCTATGTCTGTATCTATAATCTATATCTATATTTATGTCTATGTCTATATCCATAATCTATATCTATATCTATATCTATGTCTATATCCATAATCTATATCTATGTCTATATCTATGTCTGTATTTATAATCTATATCTATGTCTATGTCTATATCTATGTCTATATCCATAATCTATATCTATATCCATAATCTATATCTATATCTACGTCTATGTCTATATCTATGTCTGTATCTATAATCTATATCTATGTCTATGTCTATACCTATGTCTATGTCTATAATCTATATCTATATCTATGTCTATATCCATAATCTATATCTATACACACACACACACACACTTGTTCTCAGCCCTCAAAAGAGATCCACATCATAAATGAAACTTCATTGTGTAGACGGAGGCAATGGTTCCACCCAGGAAGAAGTATCTAGCCAGCCAGGCAGATATCAACTAAATGTCTACAACAGGCCAAGTTATGCTGGGCAGAAAGGAGGTCTGTCTCCAGAGCCAACTGGATTGAGAAAGTGCTGTTGGGGACTCATCTTTGCACCCTTCACTGTGCCCAGCCCAGCACCTAACAGAGCCAAGACTCTAGAGTTCACTGACTTGCTTGACAGTGGACTCTTCCCTGAAGAATCACCCAAACCACCCAAACCGGGCAAATTTACACAGAAACAGAGACACTAGGCAATGCTGCCCCAGGTAGGCATTGTAATGACCTAATCAAGACCATCCCCATCCATGGGTATTATTGCGACGGACCAGCCCAGACCGGGGCAGTTCAGTCCGACGGGAACAGGGTCGTCGAGAGGGTGGACAAGGATTCGGCGAGTGACAGACACAAAGGAGCTTGATGAAAGTCTGAGTGCAATTCTTGCAGTTGCAAGGTTTGAGATCTATACAGCAAAGATTACAAAAACCACAGAACAGTCATGCTAAGATTCACAGTTCCAGAGATGAAAGTAAAACAATTTTGCCAACACATTTCCCTGTCTTATCAGCCTGGTACTAGACAGTCAATTCCTGCTTTACTGTGGTTCTCACTGCCAGCCTTTCTCACACACTTAGGATTCTGTCGGCTTTGTAGTCCCAGGTCAGAAGGACCTTAACCCATTAAGCACGTTCAACACGAGCTGTGCCTGATAATACTTTTTTAACTATTTGAAAATATTCCTTGCTTATTTGTAGTGGGCCATAGGGCTTCTAAGTTATTTTTAACTCTATAGGTCCCAAAAAGGCTATCCCATGTTAGGGATCCATGAAACCATCCGTCTCTCTTATCCTACCAATTTTCAAATACTTTCTATACTTGCCCTTTAATGCTCTCTTATTTATTGTTTATCAAAAGACACCAAGGTGGTCTTGATCTTACCAATTTATCCATGAATGGTAATGAATAACAAGAAACCCTTCTTCTATCTATATTTATCTATCTACATTTTTCTTCTAGAAATTTATTATTCCCTGGACTTTCCAGCATTAACTCTATTTAATTACTTCTCACTATGTCTAAAATATCTTTCATTAAAATATCTTTCATTAATAGTGGTGCATCTAAACTAGGATGATTAAAGGATTTCAATAAAGGCAGTGATAGCGGTGCCAAGGACACCAGGTGCTTTCCAGGCCCCCAGAAAGCCCAAGATACAGTGACAGTTAGAAAAATAACAGCAAGTAAAAGCATGCCAAGTTCACTGCATGTTTCTCAGCACAACCAGTTCCAAGAGGCAACCTTCCTTGAAGTTCCAGCCTCAACCCACGGAGGACCTCACGCGGGCTTCATTGGAGATGGCGTGACATTTTATAGCTCTCACAACCAGTTCCAAGAGGCAACCTTCCTTGAAGTTCCAGCCTCAACCCACGCGGCTTCTGTCACAGGCCACCCATAGTTACCTAGACAGGACCCAGGAGTGATCATATCCCTGGGAACAGACCCTTGCAGCTCTGCACTGATGAGCTACCCAGTGTGGGCACAGCAAGAAGAGGGTAAGTAGCTGCCTCAGAGCCACCCAGATCATGAGGGGCCAGGCATGGGAGATGCATTGCTGGTCCTACGTAGAATGAAAAGGTTCCTGGGCCAACATCTTTTCACATATTTTTAGGGGTACTGAAAAGAAGGAAATGGAGGCTAGAGAGATGACTCAGTGGTTAAGAGCACTGAGTGCTCTTCCAGAGGACCTGGGTTTGATTCCCAGCATCCCCATGGTGGCTAACAACCGTCTGTGACTACAGTTCCGGGGATCTGAAGCCCTTTTCTGACCTTCTCGGGCATTGCACGACACGAGTGCACTTACACACATGCAGACAGTACACTCATCACATGAAACAAAAATAATAAACAGATATTAAGAAGAAAATGGAAGGCATCAATCTCTAGTCATCTTGGACAACCTGGCCTGACTCAGACAGGTGGACCCTGGCCTTCTGTGCCGGTATCTGGTGCCAAGGTTGGACCTAGAAATGCACATGCTTTGGCAACAGCCCCACCTCTGGCCTCCTAGGTGAGCCTACATTTCCAGCATCAGCACAGAACCACCTGGTCCAGTGACTTTTGTGTGCACTAACCCTTGGCATCCCACCTGCCTTCACAGCGTGGGGCCCAGTTTAGGCACCAGGTGTGACTGCTACACTCTCACCTCAGAGAACAGAGGACAATGACGGCTCCAAGTGGAGTAGGCAAGTTACCACCAAACTGTGTTTTCACTTAGTCCTACCTCCTGGGTGCGCTACAGGGCCAGAGCACACCCTCTAAGGAGGGCAAGCTACTTCGGTCTGAGGTCTCGCTAAGTGCCAACCCATGCTCAGGATGGAGGTGAGAATGGTAACTGAGTCCCCCAGAGGTAAGAAGGAGGAGCATGTTCAGAACTTCTGAATCTGTTCTCTTGGAATAGGGTTTCACTTTGTAGCCTAGGCTGGCCTTGAACTGAGATCCTCCAGCTTCACCCTTTAGAGAACATCCTACCCTATTTTCTAGTGCCAAAATAATGCACTGTCTATGTAGTAATAATCTTCAATAAGCAAAAAATATTTAGAGACAGAAGTTAAAAGACAGTTAAAGAGGCTGTGGCAGGAGGATTAGGAGTTCTAGGCTAGCCAGGGCTTTGGGGTGAGACACTGTTTAAAAAAAAAAAAAAAAAAAAAAAAGGAAGGGGGCTGGAGAGATGGCTCAGCAGTTAAGAACGCTGGATTTTCTTGCAGAAAACCTGGGTTTCAAATCCCAGCACCCACAAGGCAGCTAACAACTGTCCTAACTCCAGTTCCAGGAGATCCAACAGCTTCTTCTGTCCTCCGAGGGCATTGCATGACATGGGTGCACTTATCTACACACAGGCAATACACGATTACACATAAAATAAAAATAAATAAAATATTAAAAAATAGGGCCAGGTGTGGTGGCACATGCCCTTTAGTCCCAGCACTCGGGAGGCAGAGGCAGGCAGATCTCTGTGAGTTCAAGGCCAGCCTGGTCTACATAGTGAGTTCCAGGACAGCTGGGGCTACAGGGAGACCCTGTCTCAAAAAGACCAAAAAATAAAATAAAATAAATAAATTAATTAATTAAAAAAAAAGAAAACCCAACATTTAACTTAAGACTCCAAGATGAGGCAGAAGCAGGAGGTTTGTGAGGCAACTACACTGATAGGCAGTGCACATACAGTAATGAACCAGCCCAACCCACAAGCACCACAGCATGACGGGCATTGCTGGATCACTACGGGAAGCTGCCATGATGTCTTACCTCACTGATCAAACAAGAGCATGACAGACTTAACAAAGCAATAATGACATTAACTTCCTGATACTTCATAGTTCTTTTTAAAGCCATTTTATTTACTTTTTAAATTTTATGTGTAGGATTGTTTTGTGTATGTGTATATAAGTGTATGCAATGTCCACAGAGGTCAGAAGAGGGTGTTGGACCCCCTGGAACTGGAAAGGATGGCTGTTAGCTACCATGTGGGTGCTGGGAACCAAACCTGGGTCCTCTGCAAGAGCAGCCATGCTCTTAACCACTGAGCATCTCTCCAGTCCCAATACTTCATGGTTCTAAGAGCTACTTTTCCTCCAGATAGAAATGCAATTTGGCAGAGAGTTCTTGATAAAGAGACAGAAACGCCCCTGTTCCCTGCCAAAGAAAAGCCCAGATGCTATGCCTGGGGATATTATCCAATGGCAAGACTTCAGTTCCTTCATCAAACACAGCTTCTCTGTGGCCATGTGTTCACCAGATCCAGGACAAGGGTGCACACCCAGTGTTATTACAATGGCTTCCCAGCTCACACAACTCCATGACATGATGTACCAGTGGAGTAGGCTGCCTATGAGCTCTAGTCTAAGTTAAATATTGGAAGGGAGCCAGGTACACTGGAGCACAGCTGCAATCCCAGCACTGGGGAGATGGATACAGGAGGATGGACAGTTGCAGGCCAGCCTGGGTTACAATAAGGAGACCTTGTCTCAAAACAAACAAGAAAACTAGCCAGGCATGGTGGGAAGCAGAGGCAGCAGATCTCTATGAGTTAAGAGGCCAGCCTAGTCTACATAGTGAGTTTCAGGCCTGCCAGGTCTACATAGTGTAGGACCCTGTCTCAAAAAACCAAAAATCAGCCAGGCTTGGTGGCGCACGCCTTTAATCCCAGCACTCAGGAGGCAGAGGCTGGCAGATCTCTGTGAGTTCGAGGCTTGACTGCATGGGACTTAACTGTGTACAGTGGAATACATAAGGTCGGGTGGGGGGATGGGGGGCATGGATTGGGGAGGGGGCCTAGATTTGATAAAGAACTGTTGTATAAAATTACAAAAGCTCAATAAAAGATTTTTTTAAAAAAAAAAAAAAGGGGGAAGGAAATTCTGACTTAGTAACCACTGCATTGTACACCTCAAATGATTAGGATAATTAATTTGTGTCACATGCATTGTGTGTGTACATATGGGTACATATGGGTGTGTGTGTTTGCACAGGCCAGACATCAATCTCAGGTAATGTTCCTTGGGAGCCATTACCTTGTTTTAATTTTTTTTTTCTGTCTTTTTGAGACAGGGTCTCTCTATAGCCCCAACTGGCCTGAAACTCATGTGCAGACCAGGCTGGCCTTGAACTCACAGAGATCCACTGGCCTCTGCCTCTTGCGTGCTGGGATTAAAGGCGTGCGCCACCACGACCAGCCTTGTTTTAAAATTCTTTTATGTGCATGAGTGTTTCGCCTGTTTTGTATGTGTATTGTGTGCATGCAGTGCCCTCAGAAGACAGACGAGGACACTGGATCCCCTGGAACTGGAGTTATGGACAGTTATTAGCTGCCATATAGATGCTGGTAATTAAACCTGGGTCCTCTGCAGGAGTAGCCTAACCACTGAGTCATCCTTCGAGCCCCATTATCACTTTGTTTTTTTTTTGTTGTTTTTTTCTGGTCTTTTTGAGACAGGGTCTCCTTGTAGCCCCAACTGTCCTGGAACCCACTATGTAGACCAGGCTGGCCTTGAACTCACAGAGATCTGCCTGCCTCTGTCTCCCGAGTGAGGGGATTAAAGGCGTGCACCACCACGCCCAGCTTATTATTTTTAGGTCTTTTTTAAGACAGGGTCCCCCTGTAGCCTCAGATGGCCTGGAACTCACTATGTAGACCAGGCTGGCTTTGAACTCTCAGAGATCCACCTGCCTCTGCCTCCCAAGTGCTGGGATTAAAGGCATGGTCCACTTTGCCGGCTATATATTTTAACTCGATTAAAACAATTTAAAGGGGCTGGAGAGGTGGCTCAGCAGTTAAGAGCACTGGCTGCTCTTGCAGAGGACCTGAGTTCAGTTCCCAGCACCCACATGGTGGTTAACCATCTGTAACTCCAGTTCCAGGGGATCCAATGCCTTCCTCTGGCCTCTGTGGGCATAGCATACATGAGTATACATACATACATACCCACAAAACACTCATACACATAAAATAAAAATTAAAACAATTATAGAAGAATGAAATTCTGTGACTGTGGATGACCCTTGAGGACTCAAATCAGTGAGACAGGCCAGTCACAAAAGGACAAACAGCACAGGATTCCAATTTATGTGCCATTCCTAGAGGCCGCAAACCCCTAGGGACAGAAAGTGGATGGGAATCATCAGGAGACAGGACTGGGGAGGGGAAAATAGTGTTCAATGTCATTCTAGCTTGCTTTCAATTGCTATGAAAAAACACTCTGACCAATACCATCTTGGGGAGGACAGGGTTTATTCCACTTACACCTCCTGGGTCACAATTCATCAGGGAACCCAAGGTAGGAACCTGGAGGCAGAAGCTGAAGCACAGGCCACAGAGGAATACTGCTTACTGACTTGCTCCCTTGGTCCATGCTTAGACTGCTTCTTATAGAAGACAACTTGCCCATGGGTGGCAACACCCAGAGTAGGCTGGGCCCTCCCACATCACTCAACAATCAAGAAAATACCCCACAGACACGGCCACAGGCCAGGCCAATGGAGGCAGTTCCCTAACTGAGGCTCCCTCTACCCAGGGGTGTCAAGTTGACAGTAAAGCACCCAGCACAGATGGAACAGGAAAGCATCCATGAGCACTGGTGCCACTAAACTTTACACTAAAAAGAGATTAAATGGTAAAGTATGCCAGGCACAGTAGTGTGTATTTGCAACCCCAGCACTTGTGAGGTTGAGGCAGGAGGATGCAGTAGAGGGCAGCCTGGGCTATACAGCAAGACCCTATCTCCAAGACAGAGAAAGAGAAAAAAAAAGAGCCAGGCGTAGTGACATATGCCTGTAATCCCAGCACTTGGAAGGTAGAGGCAGGAGGATTAGAAGTTTAAGGCCATCCTCAGCTACATAGCAAGTTTCAGGCCAGTCTGGACTAAACGAGTCCCTGTTTCACACACACACACACACACACACACACACACACACACACACACAGGCTGGACAGAGAGGATCAGGTTTGGTTCACAGCACCCACACAGCAGCTAAAACCCATTCCCCAGTCCAGGGAATCTGATGCCCTATTCTGGCCTCCATGGCACCAGGCACACACATGGTACACTTATATATATGCAGGTAAAATGCACATAGATGCACATAAAAATAAGTACCTAAAAAAAAGAAAACTAAACATAAAAGTACCCATTGTTATTAATGCTTTACCACAAATAAAACATATCCTAAGTAGCAGTGGCGGCAGCTCACTTGTCAATGAGGACATTCTTCTCCTTGACAGTGTCAGCTCGTGTCCACTCGGCCCTGCGCAGCTGTGCCTCAAGGGTCTCGCAGTGGGCCTGCAGCTCCAGCACCCTGGCCTCCAGTGCCCGCAGCTGCTCTGTATGGGCCTCCTTCACTACTGTCAGCATTGTGTCCTTCTCCCTGGCCAGACGGTCAAGCTCTTCATGCCTGAAATAGAGATGGGTCCAGCTGTGCACTCAGGTCCTGAACCTTCCAAAGTGTCTATGACACTTTCTCACACTATGGTTGTTCCTGACTGGACGGCTGACTCTGCAGGCGGTATCTGTCTACTCCTAGCTTCCAAGGTGTAGTCTGTGTGTCTGTGTGGTCCTCTATGCAAGCAGGATGAAGCCATTCTTAGATGCCAGGCTCCTGGAAACCCTCCAATGCTCACAAGCCCCAACCAGACTGACACTAAAACAGGGCACAAAGCACTTGGCATACCACTGGTTCCTGACTAGCCCATGAAAGCAAGAGCAGACTTCTACAGTTTTGAGCTGCCACACTAGTTTGTCTGAGCCTGGCTTGCCTTTCATGATGTATTTTGCAAGATATATTCAACTTGATTTTCATGACATTCCTCCAAACACTGTAAGCATGCATATATGAATTGAGCCTTTCACAGTGCAACCCAACCCCGCTCCTAGTTTTGAAGTGAGGATGAGCTCTGCCACTTATATGAACATGTTCCCTGCATGGAAATTTAGTTTGCAAGTTCAAGGTTTTAGGGGAAGACTGTAAAACTCTTGCTAATACACTGAAAAATAAAGCCCCAGTAAAAGGGTACCAAGATCTCCATGTTTCTGTTTTCCCACCTCTGAATGTACTGGGTACTTACTACAAGGTGCTTGGGTGACACAGGGAAACCTCAGCTTCACAGAGTGATTGGAGAATGTTTCAAGGAGACTTTGACCTGAACCGATGTTATGTGCTTCACTGAGGGAAGGTGGCCTGGTGGTCTCCAACTTGTAATTCAGGAGGTAGAGTTTGAGAGACCACCAATTGCTCTGTCAGGTATCAAGAAAGCCACCTGCAGCTTGGGCCAGGCAGCTGGTGTAAGGAACCCTGCCATGGGAGGACATTCCCAAGACAGTGTGTGACCTGCTTCATAATCAGCCTAGTGCACAAGGTCGTTATATGCTAATATAGAGCACTTTCTGAGCCCTTAATATCTTGTGATCCCAGCAAGTTTTTTTTTTGGGGGGGGGTTCTTTTGAGACAGAGTCTCCCTGTAGCCCCAGCTGGCCTGGAACTCTCTATGTAGACCAGACTGGCCTTGAACTCACAGAGATTTGCCTGCCTCTGCCTCTGTCTCCTGAGCACTGTGATGAAAGGCGTCCGTCACCACACCAGGCGATCCCACCAAGTTTTATCATTACTCTGTATGAATATAAACTAAGGTGATCGGTTCAACTAAAATTTTTTTTTAATTTTAAAAATTAATTTATTTTTAGTTTATGTGTATGAATGCTTTGCCTGCATGTATGTAAATGCACCCATGTTGTGCGGTGCCATGGAGAACAGAAAAGAGTTGGATTCCCTGGAACTGGAGTTATGGTACTGTCCATAACTCCAATTCCAGAGGATCTGACACTCTCTTCTGGCTTCCATGAACACTGCATGCATAGTGCACTTTCATCATTTTTTTGAGACAAGGTCTCATATGGTCCAGGCTGGTTTTGAATTCCCTACTGGTCTATACTGGCCTAAAACACAGAGTAGTACACACTTGTAATCCCAGCACTCAGGAGGTTGAGGCAAGAGATCATCATGTTAAGTTGGCCTGGGCTACATAACAAGATCCTGTCTCAAAGAAAAACAAACCAAGACCAATCAAAACTCTCCCCTCCCCTCCCCACTTCCCCGCACAATGCTGGCAAGTTTCCTACAGCCTGGCCAGGCTGTGAGTGGCCCCTTCATTGCTGATCCTGCTCTGTGTCTGTTGGGCTCTGCCTCAGAGGCCTCATCTGGGTAAAGGCACCATCCTCTCTGCACCACGGAGGGGGCTCCCAGGAGGCAGGAGGGGAGTTTGCAGCTGCTGTTCTCATTACAGGTCAAGTTGTCAAACAAAGCTTCCTAAGAGTTCTCCTTGAAAGCTCTTCTCAGTTTGCCAGTATTGCACGAACATTGTGGCAACAAAAGGCTTAAGAAACCCAGGAACAGCTGCTCTCAGTCACTTCCCATCTTACAGCATAGCACCTTCCCAAGCAGCCCATGCGTGTCTTAGTGACAGTAACTGTGTGCTTCTGCTGGGAAGAGAAAGGAAATGACCCCTGGCTTCTCCCAGCGGGATTGCTTCACTGGCCACCCACCTCACAGCCACAGCCTCTGCCATGAAGCCACCTTGCTGTCCTGCCCCTACTCAGCATGCCCACACTGCTCCAGCCCGTCCTGACCCTCACTGTAGTCTGAGTGAGGGGCAATGCTCTCTAAATACCCTTTTGGTGCCCCCCACCTTAAGTGCCACACCATCTACTTCCTGGGTGTCCCATGACATCTGGCACTGTGGAGCACCTGCTGCTGTTGACCAGGTCCCATGACCCACAGTCACAGGGCCTGTCAGCAGGAAAAGGAGGGCTCTTCAGAGCTCAGAAGACTTTACATCCATGAGACTAAAACGTGATTGTGTCAACATGGTAAAGTTTGGGGCTGCAATCTAAAATTTATAAAAGATAGCCAGGTGTGGTGGCACACGCCTTTAACCCCAGCACTCGGGAGACAGAGGCAGGTGGATCTCTGTGAGTTCAAGGCCAGCCTGGTCTACATAGCGAGTTCCAGGACAGCTGGGGCTACAGGGAGACCCTGTCTCAAAAAGACCAAAAAAAAAAAAAAAAAAAAGTTAATAAGACCTCTAATTTTTAAAAGTTAACTTTACGGGGGCTGGAGAGATGGCTCAACAGTTAAGAACATTGATTGCTCTTACAGAGGACCCAGGTTTGATTTCCAACACCCACATGGTGGCTAGCAACCGTCCGTAACTCCAGTTCCAGGGGATCTGACACCCTCTACTGGAAACCTCTGTGGGTACTGCATGACATGGGTATACACACATACAAACAGGCAATACACTCAGACACAAAATAAAAACAAATTAAAAAAAAACCC